CCCCAGGGCTGGGATTACAGGTGTGCGCCACCAAACCCAGTTTTAGTGACCAGCATGATGGCACAGCATGCAGTACTGGTGACAGAACCCAGGTCCTTGTGTTAGCCAGGCAGGGTTTAAACCACTGAGCTATCTCCCCAACTTGTAACATAACTTTTGACAGAGAGAAATCCATAATAAAGTCAATTTGCCTATTTACAGTGGCCAAGTAATCTTTTAGGTGATAAAGATATGGGCTTCAGTGTCCAGTTTTTCAGTATTCATATTATCTCAAAATATTTATTTAGGAGCTGGGAGATGGCTCAGTGGAATAAGCACTTCCCTGGCAAGCGCAAGGGCCTGAGTTCAATCCCCAGTTCCAAAGGGGAAAAAAAAATTATTTAAAACTTGTCTAAGACTGACCAAATGTAAAGTGTGCCACACAAATACGTGCAATATATGTCCATAAGCCACTGTATTAATTTATAAAACACAACACAAAATCCAGCAGCAATCAACAACCATAGCAATAATTAGCTATTAGTGCCATGAATACACATTTTTACTACACTGTACTAGAGAATGCCAGAATTACAAATGAACAGCCTCTAAAAAGCCTAAACAGGAGGCTTCATAGGGCAAAAGGCATAAGGATTAAGATTAAATAAAAAATACATAGGTGCTTGTCTGGCAAGCACAAGGACCTGAGTTCAATCCCGGGTTCCGCCAAAACAAAATAAAAAATACAGTGAGAACCTAAGAACACAGTAATTTACCTAATTCCTGTTGGGCAATTTATTTAACTCCTATTGAGCAATTAGGCATCAAGGTGGTCAATCAGAACAATGAGCCAAACTGAAGGTAATAATCAAGGCTTTATCCGCTTATGCAGCAGAATAAGCAAGAAGTAAAAAAAAAGCACTGACTCCATAGTGGTCCGTTAAACAGGACCACTAAGGTGGCTAAGTGGATGTACTGTGCACAGGAAGGACTCCTCTTACCAAGGAACTCCTAACAAAAGGCTCCTACCCTTCATGGACCCTCTGGCACCTGTGGGCCAGAAGAGGGAAAGTGAAGGGTTATGGGGGGGAGGGAGGCTGAGTTAAAAATGTAGAAAAGTGCTTCAACTAGGGCTCTGGTGGGAGAACTCCAAATGGACACAGTGGGGTCAGGAAACAAGTTAGGGCATGGCCAGCAACAAGGAGAGTCTGTGACTACAATTCCCTCCAGAAAAGTGCACTGACCTGGCCATGCACCAAGTCTAGTAGGGGTAGGAGCTTCCCTCCAGGAGGCCAGGCAGGCAATGCCTAGTAATTAAGGTCAGCGCGTAGGATTTTGGACTGGAGCTGGGCTTCTCAATTTTTTTTTTTCTACACTTCTTTTTCCACTTTCTAACTGTTCTGAGGGGCTATGCTCCCCCCTCAAAAAACCCACACTAGAACCACATAAGACAAACTCTGATTACAAAAGGAGCTGGCTAGGGCTCTCAGGCCAAAATGGGTCCGTGGTTGATAGCCCATCAACAGCACTAGGAGAGAATTCTATTGTCACTTGCCTCCCTGCTGGTGGGAAAACACTCCCCGGGACTCCTATACTGTTAGAATCATGGGTGGCAAGGGGTGATCTCATCTATTTTTATAAGTGAAAGGTCAGGAATTTCCACCCCTCCAAATGCAGTCCCCAGTATTCTCATACATGCGTGCACACAAAGCTCTAAATCCCATTACAAATAATTTTTCTGTTCTCTCCACTGATTTTTTTTTTTTGGGGGGGGGGGGTAGACAACAAATTTTTAAAAAGCAAGCTGAAACTGTATAATTTTTATGCTAAGCTAAAATAAAAGTAAAGCTGAACTCAACAAAATCCATCCCAAGGCTGAAACCCTGATTTTTGTCTTACCTAAGACCACCCAAAACATGTGAGAATACCAAAAAAGTAAATGAACCAGAAAAGCCAGAGAAGCGCAGACGGCTCTAGGCTGGGGCACGCTCTGCGCCGCACGCCCCACGGCCCGCGCCTATACCTCCCGGTTCTGCCGCCCCCTCGGCCCCGCTCGGCCCCGCCCGGCCCCCCTCGGCCCCCCTTGGCCCCCGCACTCAGGAAGGACCCTGACCTCTGACACCTGGTGTCGGCCCAACATCTCGCCATCAGGGACCACCCGGGGGTGGAGCAGAGTCCGGAGACCCAGCATCCCACACCAGGTGCACGCCTTTGACGGTGGTGAAAAGGCAAAGAAGCCATTAAGTAGTGTAAGACCCGCAGCAGAAGAAAAGCTCAGTCTCCATCCTCCCGAGCGGCCCCCGCGCCCCGCGAGGCGCTCCGGCAACGGGGAAGTGAGTGGGAAGGAAAGACAGCCCACGGGAGCTGAGGTCGCGGCACCCGGTCCCGGGTCCCCCGCGCACCCTAGCGGGTTCGAAGCAGACCTGACTCTCCCTGGAGGCCACGCCACCTCTCACTCTGGTTCCGGAAGGCCGCCGCAAGAACCTAGGGCAGATAAGGCCGGGCAGCCGCACCTCGCAGGGCCACCGCGCCGCCAAGGTACAGACCGCATCCACAGGGTCTGCGCCGCAACTGCCGGAGCGCGCAGGCGCGGCGCGCGGGAGCCCCTGGAATACGGTCCGACGAGAAACAAAGTCCCGGCATCTCAGGGCCTCTGTCGCCTCCAAGAGGCCGGTGGGTCCCTGCAAACCGGAACTACAGAGACCTTGCTTTGCTTCATTCATTCAAGGTAGTTTGAATGTGCACGACGTACTACTGCTCGAAGTCCTACGCTCGGCTTCTGAATGTCTTCAGGCTGCTCTGACGAACGCATGTGCAGTACTCAACATAATCACTAGTGTATAATAGGCCTTCACAGAGCTATTACTATTTATTAATTGCTGTTATTTAAAAAATCAGGGACTGGGGAGATAGCTCAGTGGAATAAGCACTTGCCTGGCAAGCTCAAGGACCTGATTCACAGAGCTATTACTACTTATTAATTGCTGTTATTTAAAAAATCAGGGACTGGAGAGATAGCTCAGTGGAATAAGCGCTTGCCTGGCAAGCTCAAGGACCTGAGTTCAATCCCTGGTTCCGAAAAAAAAAAAAATAAATAAATAAAATAAAAAATCAAATATGGCACGTTTTGAACAGGATCTTATTTTAAGATAAAGTGAAGGGCCGGGGAGTTAGCTCAGTAGAATAAGCGCTTGCCTGGCAAGCGCAAAGAACTGAGTTCAATCCCCAGTTCCGCAAAAAAAAAAAAAAAAAAAAAAAAAAAACTTAGTGATGTAAAGGAACTTAATGTCACACAACTGATAAAACTACAGAGATGTGATTTGAATCCAAGTAGTCTTGGTATCAGATCTTCATTTTCAATTCACTACTGCTTCCCAAATTACAGCTGTTCTAATATTTTATGTAGACACAACTAAGGGCCAATAAAAGTGAAGTCTCTTCTTTGAATGTGGAAACATGACAAAATGGCTCACAGAAGATAAGCTTTTGCTTCTCATGTAGCAATCCCAGAGAAGTCATTTGAGAAGTGTTTAAGTTGCTTATCTTAACCGAAGCTAAAGCTCACGTGAAGAAGGAAAGAAAACAACTTCAGGGGTCCCGAATGCTAATTACATGGTGGAGACTTGCTTCATTCTGCACTTCTCTTGGGGGTCTTCAGCTCAGTAAATCATGCAGACAATTGCATCCATCACCAGCCACATAAGCCCTTAAGAGAGAAGCCCAAGACTCTGAGAGAAGACTGCTACCCCAAATTGCAGTGCAGTGGAGAGTGAGATTAGTCCTTTATTCATTACTTGCAAAACAAATAGACCTTTCCACCAAGAGCCCAAGCTGAGATTGTGGAATACAGTTAGAACTTAGAGAAGTTATTTTCCACAATCACACACTTCCCATTGTAGGAGACACTTCCTGGACCTCGTCTCGGTCCAAGAAGCCAATATTTATAATCCCAAAGTTACGTTATTGGAATCCCATCAAATTGATTCCAATCTACCACTTACAATGCTACCCTTGGCAAAAGTAAAGACACTAAATTATATTTTCAATCATCGGGGAGTCAAGGGGCTCTGAGTCCAGCCACGAAGATGGCTTTCCAGAACCAAAAGAGCAACCCAGGGCCTCACCCTGTTTTTATTCAGTGGGGGAGTGGCTTGAGGATTGACTGAGAATTGTGGGAAATAGGTGATCATTGTGAGCTGAGCTAGGTGGGTGGCCTAAATTTACCTCTGCGATATGCAGAGAGGATATGCAGAGAGAGTAATCTGCATTATATAGTATCTAATGTTTTGGTAAGTCTGGTGCTTCAGCTTTGGTGTAGCCTTTCAAGCCCCAGGAGGTCATGGCCTCTGTCTTGAGGCTGGATCCCAGCTGGCGGAGCATTAGCTCTACCATCCTGTCGCAACCTAGCTCACAATAAAGAGCAGCAGGTATAGGTTACCAGGGAAACACGCACGCCACCTTCAAAGAGCATCACCAGCACCTCAGCTAGACCAATATACATTACTTAAGGCCAATTGAAGGATAAACAGAAGTCCTAGCCAGCTCTGTGCATAACAAGGAAATAGGGTCAGGCTCAGTCAAAATGGAGACAATCGCTCTTCTTTCAAGGAGAGCTGCTCAGGTGGTCCTCCACACCCATGATATCCTAATTTAAAAAATCTACGTCTTAGTAGAGTTTATAGCCTAATGAGAGAGGCAGATGGCAAATACATGCTATGTTAATTATTGCATTGAGGAGGAAAGGTAAACATGGAAATGAACCATGGAGATTTGTAGGAAGGGGCTGTTGCCATTCCAGATGGCCAGACATGGCTTTAGTAAGTTCTGAATTTTAGTTGAAATCCGATGGATATAAGAGATCCAGGCCTGCCAACCAGAGAGAAATACAGTGGAAGACAGAAGTACAGATATGTTTTCATTGCTAATAGAGAGAGCGGGCAAAGGAAGGCAGGAAGAGATTATTTCACATAAAAACATGAAAGACAGCATGATGGAGAAGAAACTGAGTAATTCAGAACTGCTGAAGTATGAAGTAGTGCTTGAGAGAGTAGGGGGTAAAAGAAGAGTCACTAATTAGAACTTCAATAAGTGGAACAAATTCACCAGGCTGATCACAAAGGATGGGAAAGGCTTCATATACAATGCTGTTCTTTTATTCTATTTTCTTTCTCTAACATCAAAAATATTTATCTATGTATTATTATTTTTTTTTTATTTTTTTTAAATTTTGTGTGTGTGTGGCCAGCTCAGCCCACCAGGGGGCAGGGCTGGCTGGCATGTGGTGCTGGGGGATTGAACCACGGTCCCTGTGCTTTGCTTAGCTTAGCTTGTTCTAAGTGGGTGCTTTAGACCACTGAGCCATCTCACCAGCTCTATCTATGTATTATTAAAGATATTATACTTCAAAGAAGTCTACATTTGGTATCTTTTATGTACATTTTATAATATTATAAAGTCATAATTTTTGGAATCCTGTTAAAGCTCTTTTTTACCTCAAGAGATAGGCCTGTCAGAGAGATAACACCTGGCTCCATCATACCTCCAAATTTTTCTCTCTCCTCCTGTCTGCCCTTATGGAACAACAAAATAAGATCATATCCTTGCTTCCAGCAGGTAGTCTACCAAAATCTGTGCCCATTAGATGTCAGTGTTTATGCTCAAGCAATCATCAAAGAAGAGGGCCGTAGAGATGGCTCAGTGCAATAAGCGCTTCCTTGGCAAGCGTAAGGGTCTGAGTTCAATCCCCGGTTCTGCCAAAAAAAAAAAAAAAAAAAATCATCAAAGAAGGGCCAGGGAGATGGCTTAGTGCAATAAGTGCTTCCCTGTCAAGCACAAGGGCCTGAGTTCATTCCCCGGCTTTGCCAATAAATAAATAAATAAATAAATAATCAAAGAAACTTTCCAGCAAAGAGAACCATCCATTTCTTCCATTTCTCAGAGGAGTTTTGATAAATAATCCCTGTCCTTCCATCATATACTACTTCCCCAGAAGAAAATATTTGCAGGACATTTTGCATCTAACTTGTGTTTTTTGTTTATTTAATCTATTGGGGCCTTATTCCACAATACATCTACTAAATTCTGTTTTTATTCCTCAGCTGGTAGACACTTAGCTTATTTCTTTTTTTTTTTTTTTTTTTTGCTCTTTTTGAAGGGTGCTGCAATAAACAGGGAAGTGCAGATTTTTCTTTGACACACTTATTTCATTTTTTTGTATATATATTCAGTCATGAGATTGCTGAATCAAATAGTAGATTTGTTTTTAACTTCCATTTTGTTTCCCACCATTTTTTAAAATGTATTTAGGAGGCCAGGGAGATGGCTCAGTAGAATAAGCACATGCCTGGCAAGTGCAAGGGCCTGAATTCAATCCCCAGTACCACACACACACACACACACACACACACACACACACAAATGTATTTAGTACAGGGTCTAAAAGGTCTCACTACACAGATCTGACCTGTAGTGATCCTTCCTGTTTCTCAGCCTGCCAAGTGCTGGGATTACCAGCATGCACCAACACACACAGTCTCAATCACCATCTCAGCATGCCCTGGGGGCGTGGGGGGGGGGTTGGAAAGGCAGGCTGGGGATTGAATCCCCAGCTCCTGCGTCTGCCTTAAGCAGGCACTTTAGTCCACTGAGCTATCTGGCTGGCCCTCCATCATTTTTATAATAATTCAAATTCCTATTAATAACCTCTAAGTGTTCCCTTTTCTCTACTTCCTTGTCATAATTTGTTACATTCCCTCTTTTTTTATAATAACCATTCTAGTTAGAGTAAGATGTCTCCTTGTAGTTTTGATTTGCATTTACCTCATATGAGTGACTGAGAATGTTTCATATACCTGTTGGTCATTTATATGTTTTTTGAGAAACACCTACTCACATGTTTTCCCTTTGTGTGTGTGTGTGTTTTCCCATTTTAATGGAATTATTTATGTGGAGTTTGAAAAGGTTGTTCTTAAACTTCATCCTGCGTTGTTCGTTGTTTTTTTTTTTTTTTTTTTTTTCAAATGTTTTGGGGGTTTTTGTTTGTTTTCATCCTGAGTTGTTCAAATTGCAATGTCCAGGTACTACTTGGGTACCTGTTAGGAACTGAGCTGCACAGGAAGGAGTGAGTGGCAAGTAAGTGAATGGCACTTTGCCTAAAAAAAAAAAAAAAAAAAAAAAAAAACCAAAAAAAAAAAAAACTGATGCCTCACTCTATTCTATGTGTGGCTTGCCACTTATTTTACTTACCACTGCCATCTGAAAAGGTTTCCCACATGTGCAGTTGTCTCAATCATCACAGTTCTGGTTAGCCCATAAACTGGCCATAGTCAAAATGAATAAAAAAACAAGTATCACTGGAGAGTTTCTTTAAAAATGGGGATCTGGGGAGGCTCACTGAGGAGACAGAAGAGTCTAAGAGGCCAACAAGAAGAGGGCTGCATTGAAAATAGAATACTATGGGGCTGGTGAGATGGCTCAGTGGTCTGGAGCACCTACTTAGAACAAGCTTAGCAAAGCACAGGGACCCCGGTTCGGTGCCCCAGCACCACAAGCCAGCCAGCC